AACGAAATAATTTACATGATTTTCACACGCCTTATGAATTTATAGAAAGATCGTTGCAAATTATTTGTTCTACTTTATTAGGAGAAACTTGTTGAAGTTTCTAGTATCTGAATGATGGTTGAAGGAAGTTTAAGTATTGTTCTTCACGAATGATTCTCGTTACTTCGTTTCGGTTGTAAATGTACTCGGTGTGCAATTATCGTTACTTGGTATGGCGTAGGCGTATTCATTGATTGGAAAGGGTATTTTCTGCGATACTTCTTTGCGTCGCGGTGCAATTAAAATCGCTGCTCGCTGCTTCCTAATCGCGCTTATTAAGAAACATGCAACGCTAGTGCGTGCATAGAAATTGCTTTATTTGATATTAAGCGATTTCGTTCGAACTCGTTGACCGAAAAAAAAAATACTTGTAGAAATACAAATGCAAGATTTCTGTTATTTTCATAGCTTGCTATTTCTTTCTTCTTAATACGATAGATGTATAATAAGATAGATAGACATTTGTACAATCTGATAGTACAGTAATTTGTATTAATTGTTAGATATTTTGCAATGCAACTCTCATTCGAACGGTCGAAGGGACACGTCGAAGCGATTTGTCATACGACAAGTCGTACGACAGATCGTGTCGTGTATGTGGTGTTTTAAATCCGAAGAGAATTGCATATAATTCACTGAAACATTAATAGATTGTATATTTTGGTTTTTGTATATATTATTGAGCGAGTGCAAAAATTCATGGCCGATTTTGGAATACACTAGAACAAGCAGTCGGTCACGAACTTTTTGCACTGTTCTAGTTTATTATCCTGGTCAATTAGGTTTTGTCTTCATAGATACCCTTCGTTCGAACCGAACGGACATAAACAGTGGCGAGGGTGCTTCTTGATCATGAATCCGAGCAACGTATCTCATCGATATCCGAGACATTACGCTAATCGTGTGCCTCATTCGACCTTATTTCAAAATTACAGCTATTTTCGTGCTCCATGAACGAACAGTTGTTCACAGTATTGAGCGAAATGTAATCTTTCGTGATAATAATTACTTAGCAATTATACCGTAATTACACTGTAGTCATATGGTAATTGCGGCGTAATTAAACGTCAGTACGAGTTCATTACGTTTCAATAACACTGGTTCGTAATTTACTGTGTAATTATAATCGCGAATTACTAATTTTGTTTCGCCTGAGATTCTGAGTCGGTTCCTTGACCTTTTTTTCGGAACAGATACAATCCTACAGACGTCGTGTCAGAGAATTCGTCAATTATTTACGTACTTTAAGTAACTTGTCGGATTCGTTGAGAGCTTTCGTCGATATGTTGTCCAAGTGTTTCGACGCTGGAATTGAATAGATTATTATTCAAATTTATTCTTATTAAATTTGTATTAAACTGTCTAATCTTTAATTATCTCGAGACAAAATTTGTAAGCTTGCAGAGATATTCGCGAGCTTTGGTCTGCCAGCCACCGCGTTAAAATCGATAAATCACAAACGTACGAATGGATCATCGGAATGACGTTCGATAATTAGAGATAGACGTTGGAGGACGCGAATGAAAAATCTTCAAGAGCAAGCCCGTCGTGGTCTAGCCGCAATTGGGACAAGAAAGGCAGGTTTCCCGAGCGTGCATCAATCGCGTGCACCATGATGCATTATGGCGCGGAGCTGGCACGCGAACCGGACGATACTCGAGCGGTCAGTCTTTTCATCGAGCCAAGTCCAAAGCACGCAGGGAACGGTAACTCGTGCTTTTTGCTCGTTAGCGGCTACCGATCTTCGACGTCGCGCTGGATCTCACGTGAACGAGGATTTTCCAGATAAATCTCGCGTTTCTTTCCGCGGATCTTTGACGATCGCCGATAACAGTTCGCGGAGACGATCGTTGGCGAAAGTTCGGTAAAATGGTCATAGCAGCCCGCTCGACTCGCGGATGCAAACCAGAACTCGTTGCACGAACTCGATGCAAGAGATAGGGGGGCGTTACTTAATCGGTACAGGTCACCTACATCTTGCCTCTTCAACTTTTGTACCATTACCGTGATAGTATTACGAGCTACGAACAACTAGCGTGCAACTTTATGAGATCTTACATTCTATCGAGTGGCCAACGCACGAGGTGGTCCACGTAACGTGCTCAGTCTCGTTATCTCATAAAGTATGCGTAGTATGAAAAATTCTTTTTTTTTCAGTGTATTGCATTTGTGTTATTCTACCAAACCACGAGATTGCGTCATCAAAAGATAGTTCTCAATGGGGAAATTCAACTTCTTCTCCATTAATTTTTCGTACCCTCCTTGACTAGAGTTCAGCTTGGCCTAGTTTCTGGGATCATCCCGGATACCACAAGTTACGTCGTATTTGGGTAACTTTAATCGCTTGTGTCTCTAAAATTATCGAGTGATTACATCCAATGACGTACATAATTACAGCAGAGACTCGTAGTTTACCATGCCGCGGAAGCACATTAAAAGCAGAGGAGACAAGTTGGTCTCTTCCATCGTAAAGCCGGATTCACGGTGTGCATTAGACAACCGTTCGTCGACCTTTCGTTAAAAGTTTCTTAAACCTCGTAACACTGTCCATTGTGTCTCGTGTATAGTGGTCTAGATGAAGGGTTAATGGGTCACTGGTTTCTGAAGACGATTCGCGCCTCGATTCTTCAAGTGTCCACGTGACCAAGAGTGTCTACCTTGCAAAGCATGGCCGGTTACTCGATAAAAGAGCAGAGCTAAGCCGACAAATTGTAAACTCGGCACGAATATTCCATCTGATTCGAAGGTGCTAAAACATTTCGACCGCATGGAACATTCGAGGAACTAGAATAACAACGACGAAGCATGCTTTCTCGAGACAGGTAAATTGTTCAATGATCAAGTACTGCTTTTCAGGAGTTCATAATATATAGAGTTTTCACTGTTTTTACGAAAGTAAAAAATAACGATTACGTATTCGAAGACGTGGACATTCTTTTGGAGAATTAGAATAAGGTTTCGTCGTACAGAAAGCATAATTAACACGTGAATTCATGTCGCTAGAAATTCTACTCCTAGTTGTCTATTATCTACATTTCGAGCAAGTATATATAAATTATGAAAATCTTTTCATTTTACACGCCATATATTTGTTATTTATAAAATCGATATTTCAAACCATATTTTGTCATTTTTATCTTCGCCATAACGATACAAATTTGCGATGTCCGGCCTCGGAATTGTATTATTTTCGCCAGTGCTCGATATCAGGAACACGAAACATTTATCGTTCGCGAAAGTGTCGAATAAATTTTAATTAATACTAGTAGCTTAAAAGGAAACACCGGTGAGTGTTACACCCCGATTTTGATGAAACTTTCTACCCTTGTTCGTGGGAGCAATTTTTGCTATTAAATAAATGATTGGTGAAATATATTACTTAACGCAGTAGAAAGTATACGCAAGTACATAAGTGAGAATCGTTAACAGATTCGTAATTTTCTTGAAACATTTATTTCAGTCGAGGAAGTGTCCACATATATTATGAACGTAGGTGTACGTATCGATACTTGAAACTTGAAAGAAAGGCAAACAAACAGTTTCAGTTCAGACGATCCCTTTGACACTTTATTTACCGGAAGCCTATTTATAGGCTTTTTAATTGAAGTATTTACCTGTTCGAATTTATTTACTGTGTTGATGGTTGTCTACTTACAATGATCAGTGTTTGGAAACAGACTTGGCTTTCAAATTGAAAGTTTCAATGTACTCGGTGACGGTATGGAGGAATTATAGTCAGCCTAGATTGGCATACGCTACTGTAGAAAATTCCTTTTTTTTAATAAAAAGACCGTTTCTAAATAGCCCGGTAGATAAAGTGTTAATATAATTCGCATTAAATGCGTGCTAATATGCACCCCTTAGTCATTCGCGTTACTTAAAGCACGAGAAATCTCCGATTTCTCCGCGTGCTAGTTCTAAAGAATTCTTCCTCGAGAGGGAACGTTTTTCAGCGGAGTTGGGCCGTTCGCAACGGTCATTATGCGATGAATTTTAATGGATTATAGCATTCTCGACATTTCCAACGTCGCGGCTCGAATGTTCCGCGAACTGCCCCTAACGGTATGGACGGATATTTTTCTCCCCCTTTTCCTCGCGTCCCCATTCAGTCGCCTCACTTTGTTTTTCGTTAAACTTTTATCTCCGCGAAACATGCGGTCAGGTTTTCCGTGGCCGGCCGCGTTTCCCAAGCGTTTCGCTCTTACGCCTCTGCTGTATTGTTTTCCCGTAAATTGACTGACTAGTGCATAATTCGCGTCGCTGTCGCGCGCGAACAAAAATAACGCTGGAATGACGTTTTCGTTTTCACACCGTCGAGTTTATCGTTAACTAGCCCCGTTCGGTAAACGACGACATAACAAACTCCGGGAATCGCGACCAGGGTTTTTCAGCTTTTTTCCCTCTCGATTTATATCGAATCGTATGTCAATTTACTTTTTTTTTTAGGTAGAAATATGTTTTTATGTTCCCTAACGAACAGAATGGAAAGCATTTTTAGCTAGGTGTCTGCGACGCGGAACGAAGTTACCGATTGCATGTGGGTTCTTCGACGTAAGTTTTGCAGATAAAAAAAGTGGGAACAATTTGAAGAATATCTGGTTCTGTTTATACATCGATCGTGAAATTTAAAGTGGAACTTTCGGTAGGGTGTTTATTAACACTTTTCTGAGTAATTCAGAGTATGCTGGCGTCTGTTTGATGTTTCTATGAATTTTCCCTGGTGATTTAAAATACAAACTGACGAGAAAAATCGATTCAAGGAAAAACATGGTTGCATTTTTTAAAAGCAAGTGCACGGATTCATCGTTGCACATGATCAGGACCTCGTTAATTAATAATTAAATGCAACATACAACATAATAACAGATTCGGTGTTGGCGGGAAGACTTCTTATTATCAGATTTCCACTGTTTTTTTTTTTTTTTACTTTTTTTTTTTACACAACAGTACGTCCGTGCACGTTGAATTTTGTTTGATCCCATTTTTCTGGGTTCAAGATCATTTGCAGGTCATATCGTGTTACCTGGATGTGTTTTATTATTTTGTCAGCTACAACATTATGTTAACGAAGATATATCGTTCCATTAAAAAAAACATCATTAACCTTCAAATCTTGTAAAAAAGAGACCTTGAAAATGTTTTCCCTTGCACCGTTACACGTGACCCTTCAAACGGTGCAACTTTGTCCTAAGTTTTTTTTTTTTTTACAACGAAAAGTAACAGAGATATTTATTCACCCTGTATAATATACTTATACTAATATATTCAACATACTGTACGTCACAAAACGCATAAAATTCGCAGTCTACTTATTATACAGACACGTAAATGGCAGGCTCGATTTTCGATTTCTTTAAACGGTCGAATAACTCGAATATTCTTCAACGACTCTCCCGAAATTGTTCGGTAATCTGATTCACGGTCCACGGAATGGTAGCGATGAAGTAAATGAAGGTGCATTCCGATAGGCATTGCTGACTTGTCGAAATAGCGCGCGAAACGAGCTAAGGGAAGCCAAGACAACGATTCCCGTCATTCTCTCGCTAGAATTGTTCCAAAGTTTTCGACGATAGCGCTGCTGCAGTATCAATAGAAATACTATGGAATCCCAAGATAATGCTCGTTCTTTCGTACTTGTGCACTTTGTTCGTACTTTGATAGCGCGTGATCAGAGACGATCGTACAGTCAGCGATAACGTTCGCAGCGTTACGTACAAGTTTAAGAGCGAGCCGTCGATAGAATCCAACGAATGGGAATATCTTTCACAACATTAGTTTTGTAACAAATAATATCCAAGTTCACGTTTATCTGACAGTGGGGCTTGCATTCATCCAGCATTTTTTTTACCGAACGACCTTTACTGCTTTATCTGCCACTGAATCATTGGCAACTGCACAATCGATTGCAGATTCAACATACTTTTTATGCATTGCGTAAGATTTTAATATTGCATTATCTACTTGTATGTTCTCTGTCTGTGCTATACTAGCGTCGTCGCACGCCGTATCCTATCACAGAATTTGGATTTATTGTAACGCGATGTTACAGAACTTTGGAATATACGATATGTTTTGTTGCTTTTCTTTTTAGCAAAAAAAAAAAAGAAATTGATTTTCCGAATGACCAGTTCTCGAAAGTTCGACATATATTAGGTTGTCCCAAAAGTTTCTTCCATTTCATTAATAAGTAGTACATACGCGATATTTTATGTCTAATGTTATATTATTGAATTGCGTATTCATTTTGCGATTCATTTAGCTCCGTTATGGTTGGAGCATTAAGATCTGAGAAACGAAGTGGCCTATTTATATAAACATCGCTACGCAAAATGACCGAGTACAAGTCATGGAAGAAACTTTTGGGACAACCTAATGTAATTGTCGCGGAGTATAGTTTAATTATTCCAGGAACTCGCGAACAAACCAAGCAATATCTGTCATATATTCACGTGAATATTAACTCAAAATCAAAGTTGATTTTTCCTCGTAATTTCGACAGTTAATTTTTGAACATACGGATGCAAAAGTAACGTATTTCTTCGAATACATTAATTTTCGCTACATTGGCGATTATAAAATAAATATATTTCGTGAAAGTCTGACGAATCTTGCGTATCGGCCACTTTTGATCTAAAACGTAAAACAAAATTTATCTTTAAACAGTTTCGAGGGCATTTGTTTGAATTCAAATTGAATTCAAACTCGAAGTAACCATACCAACACAGTAGTCTCGTAGCATTTAATTTGTTATCCTTGCCAAGCTCACGAATCATATTCAGATTTATATTTATTAACGCCTCGCGTACGGAATTATTATTTTATATTTGTTAAATATATTTGGTGAAAGTGTGACGAATCTTGCGGATCGGCCACTTTTGATCTGAAACATAAAACAAAATTTGTCTTCGTACAGTTTTGAGTGCACTAATTCGAATTGAATTTAAGATCGAACCGTACCGACAAGAATAAAGGAATCGTCGCGACGTGGAGATCGCGTACGAGCTTACTATGTCTATGCGACCTTAATCCCCGACCAGCTACAAGAGGACTCCCTCTGGACTAAATGGTGCGCATCGATATAATGCAGATGTAATATCACTCTCGGCAGTAGTTACGTATCGCGCAGTATTCCGATACGTCCGCGCAATCACGCGGTTACGCACTGGGAGCACTTCTGCTCCGAGAACAGATTTTCGAACTGCATATATTCCGGTCGCGAAGGTATTCCGCGTGTCGCGTGACAACACCTTTCGTTTCGCGAAAGAAGAGCGACCGGTCTTGGGAGTGCAGCATCGTTTGTCTCGATTTACATACGTAGGTCGCGTTACGACTCCAATCGCAGCAAGAATGTCGCTTTTACCACCCTGGAGTTCGTTGCCACTTTCGTGTACTTTCTTATAGAACGTATTAGGTCGTCCCGCACGTTCGTTCTGTAGACCGAGGCAATATTTCATGAAAAAAGCTACGAAAACTTTATAGCGACTGTATAATGGCTATGTCGGAAAGGTGAGAAAATATTGTGAAACTGGAGAGATTATCTTTTCTTAGAATACTTAAGGGTAATGTTTCATGTATTAATTTGAGTAACAGGAAAATGAGCGGCGTGAACTTGTGGGACGACCTAATATTTTTATTTTATACGAGTATTCAGCGACTCCGTAAAAAATTGCGAAAGGAGTAGGGCAATTCTTACGATGGAAAATAAATAATTAAGAGGCAGGAAGGAAGTTAGGAAGAAAATGAAAGATTCCTCCTTTTTGTGTGTTTTCTTAAACGTTCCTATCAATGCTTGTCGCGTTTATTTACATAATAACAAAAAATGGTTCAAGGGGTCATACACGTTGGTCGCTTCAAAAAATGGAATTTCTTTTGCTTAAAGTACTCTCGATATACAAAAAAACATCGATATGCCAAGAAGAAAGTTAGAAAGAAAATGAAAGATTCCTTCTTGTGTATTTTCTTCAAACAGTGAATATATCTGGTTGCTATCAGCCAAGTTATGATTGAAGCTCATAGCGACATATGTTAAAAAACAAAATGAACGTCATTTGTGTTAGAGCAAATTGTCCCTTCTCGACTACGGCCTTTGATTTCCAGCCAACCCTAGCCTAATACAATTGATTTCTAAAAGAAGAACGAATAGAATTCAAACGCAGAACAGCCGAGTTGAAAGTGTTCGAATCATCTGAGAAATTCATTTATAAAACACGCATTCGAAGGTTCGTTAATAATCAACGTTGCCTTCTACTCATTTTTACAAGTTGAGAAGTATAAGCTGTTCAACAATTGGCTTTGACGAAGTCGTAGCAAGTTACGTAACAGCGTTTAGATTTTTATTTTTTAAATCGTCCAACTTTATAGGCTTCGATCTCTTTACCGCTTCGGGACCACAGGGGCACATGTGCATCCCAGTGAATATTCAGTTTACGTTCAATAATTTTGTGTTCCCTTCAATTCCACAAATTTACCATATTTCTTCTGCTATTGTATTTATTAGTTACTCAATTACCAGTGGGACGTATTTATACCGCGTAGGTATTGCAACAACTGGGCCAGTAATTCTGCACAAGTGATCATGATAGGATTAACAGTATTTAACAATAGTGGATATATTCTGTCAGATAATAATCGCGATGTGAGTGCGATATGTACAGTCCTTCGAAAATTAGAATTGTCGAAATGTTTTACAAGTGTCGAAACTTTGAAAGGCTTAAAAAAACATGCGGAAAGTTAGATAGTTTAATGATATATTTAATATTCTAGTCTTCTAGAGCTGAGAAAGGCCTGATCGATGTTAACAATAAAGTAAAGTTGTCATCTTGTAGAGAAACTAAAACTAATTGGTGGAATACCGATGTATCAGCATTCTTTAGCATTACTTTATTACCTGAAAGTAATACGATCCCATAAAGAGTGAACGTAACGAAGCGCTGAATGAATGTTTCTAATCGAATCACAGTCATAAACGATCAAACGTAAAGGCACGTAATCAATTTCTACGCCTAATGGTTAATTCTCCTACAATCTACTTCATCACTCGACGCTTAGAGTCATTCATCTAACAGTAATCAACCAATGAAGTAATTACCAGCAGCGTGGAATCAGCGCTTTAGCCTGGTTTAGCCGTTGAACACTTTCTTGCACGTGCCAGCAAGGATTTGCAATTACCCTCGGCACCCATTAGAATGGAAATTGGGAATTTCTGTTTCCTTTGGTGCGCCCAGAAAACGAGAATATGGCTCGGCGTTTCGAACAATAGCGCTCTCTTTCTTACGGCTCCCATTGTAATTATTCATACAATTACAGTAACAGCTCTAGAAAGCGTGAAAAAAGCGAGTAGAAATCTCCGAACTTTCCGAAGGCCCGCAGTTCCAATATTTCCCGGTCCATTTTAACGGGTGAACGTTCGGAACTGAAACGAAGAGAGCTCAATCAGTTTCCGATAATATTATCGCGCTATTCTCTCCGTACGTAATCGTAAGAAAAATTCGTAATTAAAAGTAGACACGAGCCAGATAAACGGGACGATGGATGCCGAATTAATTGAAAATCGTCGGAAAAGAAACGTTGCTTTTCTTTTCTTTTCTTTTCCTTGTTTACTCTCGGCGTATCTCTTAATTAACTCTGTTAAACGAGTACGGGCGCGAGTGCAACGGTCGAAAGAGGCAGATCAAACGTTTCTGGCGTGCATGGACGAAACGGGTTGACGAGATATAGAGAGAATTAACAACGAGGACGATTCTCTCGTGACACGATGCGGCGTTTACCGCTAACGAGCGCGCTAATTGGCATAAACGAAGCCGCGCCCGCGAGAGTGTAATCAAGTAATTCGATTAACGCTGCCGTCTAGCTCCCGAATGTTTTTCTTCTAACATTCGCGATTTTCAGAAACGGACGTCAGCTGTGATTTTGTGGATCGATACGTCCCACGAAAAAATACGCGACGAATATAATTATTCTTAGATGGAATTTTGGACAAGTTAACCCTTTGCGCCCGAGGCATTTTTCTATAGAGTCAAATCGAGTCCATTTTTATGATAAATTTCTGTAAAATCAAAAACTCTGCTTCGAAAAGAAATATCGAAAAACATTCGCGACTCAATGTATATTATTTCAATTAATAATTAGCTGTATTTTGATATAATAAGTAAAATTGAAATTTTACGTTGAAAAATTATTTTTAAATAACATATGTAATGTAAGACATATATATATATATATGTCTTAAATAAGCAGAAAACTTACTTCGGACGTTTCGACTCAAAGTTGGAGTTATCTTCAAAGTTACGTCTCTATATACTGTACATAACAACTTTTGTCTTATTACTCGAAATATACCATAATAATACCATAATGCTCTAGTTAAATATTGCTGGAACACTTCGTGTACTTTCCAGAGCTTTCACTGAAAATTATGCAGGTTTCCTTTATTTTACTCTTCTTTCACTTCTTGTTCAAATAATAGTGCTCCTTTGTTAATTGCACGTTTTTAATGACCTCTTCTTGTTGCACTTTGAAACTGAACTACATTGTAACTACTATAAAAAAATTTACGTAGAATTTTACGTAAGCTCGCGTTAAGTAGCTTCAGCTGAAAATTAAATTTACTTTTTAGTATTTACTCGAGGCATATGCAATTTATGAACGAGCTGTCGGAATTTAACAAGATGTACATTTTACGGCTGTGCGATTCGTAGTGTATATTAAAAGTATTCGTAAAATGTCTGCGATTACTGCACGTTTATTCGGTTATTATAATTTTGTTTAATTACGAATGCACCGGATAATTGTAGCTTACCAGCTTTAAAGTTTACTGTAGAACTTTCAAAAGTTTTGCTCGTAGCTAATGCCTTTTAATTATGACAAAATGATGAACCGTGGATTGTAATTACCGTTACATACTTTCCGTTACTTTAATGCGACGTGTGTTAAAAGTACACAGAGAAATTATAAAACGGCATTCGTATGCGTTACGTAACCTTATGACAAATTAATTTCGTTACGAGTTTAATACCGCGGGGATAATTATGAAGTTCACGAACAAAGTTACCGCCCTTTAGTTGAAAAACACTTCTCTAATTAACGGTATTTAGTATAACTCGCTTAGTATTGTAGTATCAGCGCCTCCCATACCCAGCAGTAAGGAGTCAAATAAGAACACGAAACGTCGATCGTGGCTTCGAATCCTCGTGCCTTATTTTTCGTTTAGACTCCTACGGTATTTCTGCCTTTCAGAAGGTACGATATTTTACAATACATATAAAAGAAAAGCATTCGGAATGGTATTGCGATATCAGATGACGTGTACAAATTAATATAACATATAATACCGAGTTTGGTTCACTTTAATAATAATGTTCTATAATTGAGCTATAACTAAATTTCTTAATAAAGTGAATATAAAAATAAGAAATAATTTACGTTAATTTTGAAGTATAATTTTGTATGTTTAAGTCTGATATTTATAAGTTTTTCGAAGATGACTCGAAACTGAAGATTCGAAACGGTTATAATGATAATTATTTCAAAGGGTTTAATACTTTTCTTTGCTTTTGGGTTTACTACAGTAACGAATAGAGGATACGATCAGTAGTAGAATGCGTTTCTCGTTGGAATGTAAGGCGGTCTACAAGCGATAAACACGGCCCTTTAAGCGAACACTCGACTTGCTGCAGTATACGCCATTATTATCGTGATTTAACTAAACATACGAGACTTCAAAAGCTCGCGTTCTTTGATGCTGAAATGTACGGCATTTGCTTGTATCAAAAGGCATCAAACATTCTGTTCTATATGTTGTAGTAGTTCTGTTTCGAATAGATATTTCGTAGTTTCGGCGTTCGATGAGAATTTTTTTCACCGAGGAATTTGTCTCAAACAAAATGATTATTAAACATTTCTGTCTTATTGAAATCGTCTGTTGTATATTTAATATACGTAGAACTTTATATATATATATATATAGTAAAATATTAAAATATTGAGGATTCATTTAATTTTCTAAAATAATTGAAATTTGTGGATTTTATTTTTGATAATATATATATTTATATAATTATAC